CTCATAAGACCTATTAAATGATTATATTTTCATATTTTTAAGATCAATAAATAGTAAAATATATAAGTTTAAAATTTTAATTTTTTTTTATAATAATTTATCATATATTTATCTTTAAAATATCACTAATTAATTACATTTTTTTTGAATTTTTACTTAGAAAACATCATAAAATTTATTATAAAAATATTAATTTTTAAATAATTATTTTAAAAATATTTAAAATTATTATAAATTTTTATTATTAAATAAAATTGCAAACAAATTTATTTGCAAAATACTTAAAGAGATAAAAATCTCTTATACTAAAAAATATATTTTTTAAAATTTTATTTAAAAAATAATATTTATTCTAAATAAATTTAAATTACAAATTATAAATAATTTATATATTATTAAAATAAATAATATTAAAAAATATATTAGTAAAATTATAAATTAAACTCTATAAATTATTATTAAAATACTAATAGGATTATTAGAAATTTCTAATAATATTTAATAATACTAGATTCTTAAAATTAATATTTAATTTTTTCAATTTGTTCACTTTTACTTTTTAAATTATTTTTACAAATATCTAGAATATATAATCTTAATTAAATATCAATAGCTTAAATTATATTTTATATCAAATATTTACCTAAATAAAAGGATTAAATATCTTTAAAATTATTATTAACTTCTTTATTAATGCTTTCTTAAAATAATATTATATACAATTATGATTTTATAAAAAATATTATATGATATAAAAAAAATATAATAAAATGCTTACTTTTTTAATACAGTTTTTCTTTTTATTATGTTATAAAACTTTTTAAACATTTTAGAAGTATTAAAAAAAATTTGGTTAAAAGAATTATAAAATATAAAACATTTAAAAATAATTTGAAAATACTATACAAGTATTATTATTAAATTAATATTAATTAAATATATTAGATCTCTTTAAAGATTTCTGAGCCTATGAATTAATAATATTATAAAATTATCATAGTTTTTTAAAAAATAAAATACTTTAAATTTTAATTTAATATAACTTTAATGTTTTAATCTAATAAATATACTTAGATTATTAAATATTATATGTATTTGTATGAGATTTAAACTAAAAAAAAGAAATAAATTAAAAATTAGAATTTGTATGATCTTTATATGCAATTAGAATTATTACATATAATTATCACTTATATTGTAAAGGTTTGCAAACAAATTTGCTTATGTATCTACTATAAAATTTCTTTTAATTTACTTATAAAAATTAAAAGTTTTTTAAAAATTTTTTTAAATTAATTTTTTAAATATATATAATATTATTTTTATTTTTAATTATATAATAAAAATTTTGTAATTTTTAAAAACTCTTATTTTATTTTTAACCTTTGACAAACTTATTAATTATTATAATTTTATAATTTATAATTTTATAACTTTTATTAATAAAGTGATTTAATTAGTTTACAATCTTATGAATTTTAAATTTTTTATAATAAATTATTTAAAACTTAATTTTAAAATCAATTATTTAAAAAAACTGCTTAATAAACTTAAAATTTCTTCTAATAAAGTTGATAAAATTAAAATATATTTCATATAATTACTATATTACTAAAATTAATATTTAATATTTTATTAGTTTACAAAAAAATTTGCCTGCTGGACAATCTAAAGGATAATGGACTGTTTGATAAAAAAAAATTGTATATTTGCAATTTATATTATGCTCCTAATATTTTTTTTTATAGAAATTATAGGATTAATAAATAATAAGAAATAATACTAATAAATTTTATTGTATGCAATGTATTAATAAAACTGATATAGGGACATGTTATTTATAATATTAGTAACAAAATTTTGATCGATTTGGAGGCTGATTTGATGGACAGATTTTATGTGCAATAGAAAAAAACCTGAACTTTTGACTCTAAAATTTTTAAGTTAAATGTTCGAAATCAAAAAACGGAAAATTAAATAAACAAATATGATTTTGTTAAATTAAAGTTACGAGATATAATAAATCGTATAATACATAATATATGTTTGATAGCAAACCTCACATTTGTTTTCATGCTTTCTATGCGGAGGGGGGGTTAAAAAAAATAAATATATATCAAAATTAAATAATAATTTTACTATTAGCTTAATTAGAATGTTGATTGGTTACGTGAATGAATTTACTGATATAGAAAAAGTTGTGCACTAGAGAGTCAATTAACCATTTTCTCTGATAAAGAATTTCTAACGAAATACCAATGGAAGCCCATTTAGGAAAATATAATTTATGAATGTTAGTGGGATTGTATGCTTCCCTAATAGGTTCTTTAAATAAATGTTGCACTACAATAAAATTATAAAATTACAGAAGAGGGAATTAATATTGCTCATGTTCCTTTTACTTCCGAATGTACGATAAACATAATTTATTTTTTATTGTTTAACGTTAAAATGTCTGTTTAACGGAAAGGAGTCGATTTTAAGAAATTTTATGTTAAGATTTTCCTAAAGTGGAAAGACACTAACTAATAGATACGTTCAAATAACGTTTAACTGTTTGTACAAACCAAAGAAAGAAATCGGTTACACAACATAAGATGAATCAAACAAGATAATCTAAATTAAACGATGTAACATGTATAAAGAAAAATAAATTAAATTAATTGTACAACAAACATTAATCACTACGAATTTGTCATACCTACAGCATATCATTATAAATATGCCTCTATTCAAGTCGAATTTTCTTTTCTTTAAACGAATTTTACTTTTTGTAAACTCCAAAATAATAATCATAACAATGGTTTTTAATCGAAAACTAGCCGTGTCAAGAAAAGAAGATTTCTTATTAAACCAATACAAAACAAATCCTTTTGATGATAGAATTGCCCAATTACCACCATATCTTTAGTCCGAGAATTTTTCATCAAATTTTTAAACAAAATTTTTGTTCAAAAAGAACCATATTTGTTTGCGAATATCGAGATTTTCCATTGGTGAAAAAAAGATGCAATTTATAAATTAGATAGGGGTAAATAATTTTTTTTTAATTTTCTGTTCAAGAGGCCATATTGTTTATCATATTGTGCAATATATTTTAAACATTGGTGATTTTCTTTCATATTATTGGTTTCGTACTAATAACCCCCCTCAAAAAGGCAACATTCTATTGACTCAATAATGCCTTTAAAACTATACATTTTTGCGAGTTACCATGCGGTGAAAAATGATTAGTGAATTGTAAATAGGGGATTTTTTTAAACAAAAGAATTTTTTGTTCAAAGGAAATTGAACCACCAGAATAATGCGATATGGTAGGTCTTGGACTGAATTATGTGCATCCTAAATTATCTGTAATTTCATTAACCAAACAAATTTTTCAATTAGAAGTAAGAAATATTAAATGCCAATAAATCATAACACGTTTTAAGATGATGAAACCGGGACAAAAAGGTACTCAAAATGAATTTTTTGAAATATAAATACCCTTCCCATCCTCCAGGAGGATTTTTTTTTTCTTCGTCAGAAAAATTGACTCCGAATTGATTTTTTTGTCACAGATAAGCTTATAATAATGCTTTCTAATAAAAAAAATAATATTGTCAACAAAAGAAGAAGAAGAAGATGTTTGTTGGAACAATACAAACTTTGGGTAGATTCTCTTCTTTATAGAATGACCCATTTGACGATACCACAAATTTTGCCCGCTGGCAATCCATACAACCAAAACGCGGCCGAATTTTATGGGGGCTTTTCTTTCTAATAAATTCCCTTTCGTAACGATTACTCTTATTCGTGAACCTTTTTTTTTTTTTTTTAAAAAAAAAAAAAATCATTTTATTACGTAAAAGAACATTCGGAATTAAACAAACACAAATATCGATTTATCAAAAATACGTTATGATACCTGATTGTACTATCCAATTAAATTCACATTTTAGCTTTATTTGTCAAGGAGACACGCTCGTAAGTGTCAACCCACCGCAGAATACTTCACCTCGCCTAGATAATGTATTAGAACGTTTCGATTTTAGGGCAACCTTTTCCCAGATATATATTAATCATCTTGTTAATCCGGAGCGTAAGCGAAGGACTTTCCATGTACGAGCGATAGTAATGAAAAATGTCCATCTGTCCGCCCGCTTGAATCTTGAAACGATGCGTAATTGGTCCCTTTCGTTACACTTGTGCTCCGGACTTAACAACGGTTTTCCGAAACCGTTCCCTAGTTTAGTAATATACATAAGATCTCCGCCAAAAGGAAAGGCATTCCTCAAAATATCTCAAATCACAAATTTTGTAATAAATGCCCGCGCTGCAGAAGTTTTGCCAGTGTCAATTGGGGAGGTTTTTTGTTCGATATTTCGTAAATAGCACCACAAAATCATATAAAATGTTACATAGAATTTTTAGCGTTCATGTCTATTTTAATCTAAAATTTTAATCCACTGTTTACGACGTATATTTAGAAATTTGAATATATTTTATATATCCTCTTTCAAATATATTTAAAATCCCTGTAATCAACAAAGTTGAACTCATACATCAACGTGTCCATTATAATTTTCTTTTTTTTTTTTATTTATCTACAATTAGAAATAAATTGTTTTCCAATAAAAAGTTCTTCATCACGAAAAAAAAAAGAAATTTATCAAGGAAAGCCTTTTCAGTGTCTACATTATATTTGATGTACTGTACCTTTTACTGAAAAATTCTAAGTCCTCATTAATACTTGGTAAAAATGAAATGCGGAGAAAGTGACCTAGGTCACTTTGTATATGATCGCGTGATAGATTTCATAGTAAAATCATCACATGATTAGATCATTTTAAGGTCACTTCAAGGTCATTTGCCAACACTGGCATTTTTTAATATGACCCTTGTACAACTTATGAATATCCCTCCTTCCTAATGGTAAGACCGTTCACCATTTGTAAAATCAATAGATTCGGGATTTTGCCTAACCATAAAGATCGTTTGGATGTATTTACCTAACCACTTTACGGTTGGCGCATATTGTTGAGAATTTTGGAGGTATAAATCCCCTCGCCATATACCGTTCCATGTTTCGATTTAACTATATCATTGCCCGCAGGCTTCTTTAAACCAAACTTAATGATCTTGACGTTCTCCGTGAAAGTTCCATGGTAACTGTAATTCCATTGGTAATTGTAAAATAGATGTTTTCCTTGCGCTAGAACAAATTTGGAGCATTTTGATGGTCGCAAATATCGATGTTCACCATGCCTTTCAATATGACAGTAATTTTCTAAATAATAATAATTATCCATATGACTAAAGATGGAATCATCTAGCATCAAATGATCTTTAATGAACTTGCGGGATAATTCATATTCGGAATTGCTTTTCAAGCTGACTTCGACCGTACAAATATCCTTGATTATTTACAGAATATAACTTCATTGTGTTGGAGATTTTGAAAATTTTTTTTATTTTTTTTTCGCATATATATCATTATTATTTCCAAATTGGCCAAATTGGGAAACAATGACCAACGCCAGAAAAATTAAAATTTTTTTTTTTTACATGATCCAAAATGTAAATGACATTTTGAAAGATCCCTTTATTGTTTTTACCATTGTCCCATAATATGTAAGAAATATATCATAAGTACTTTTGAACTTTGTAAATCAAATGATTTTAAAATATTTTATAATTGAAAAGGCGCTAATTAAATAACCCGGGAATACCCATATATTGCAGTGAGCTTGAGAAAAGACTTGTAAAATGGTTTAGCTTTAAATCTGCCAATGTTCTGAAAGGTCAAAAAAAAAAATTTTTTTTTGACGTTTAAACGAGAGAGCATTTGCAGATCGATCAAGAAATTATTTTGATTTCAAATGAAAAATAAAAGCTAGAAGTATATATAATAAACAACTTATACCTTGTAAACGTTACCCGGTTCC